TTTTGACCGTAGTCATATGTATTTGGCCGTTGCCATTTTTTATCCTGAGTGACAGTTTAGGCATCTACACCGAGGGTATGTCCTTTCAGGATTCTTACAAATGTGACGTATAGCCTAAACTTCGAGATTTTCATGTCTATTGAGGTCTTATAGTTTGTCATGCCTGTTGAGGTATTACAGTTTTTGTAGAATAGATCTGGTTATGCCGAATCTGCCCGCTAGGGTCTTACAGTTTCGGGTTTTCCAGCGCAAGGCGATTGGCGATGATCGACAATCTTCGAGTCATCGAATTTGTTTAAGCGTGAAGACCGCTTTTCGTGAGCTCGGAGTTGCCTTGTAGGGGATTTATGAGCCCGGAGTTCCGACCCTGGCTTCGTACGAGTGATGAATTGCTGATGCTAAGTCTCCAGCACTTCTGGATGCATTTGGCGAAGGGGTCCCTGCCAGGAACATACTGCGATTTCCCTGTTTGGAGAATGGGGCATTGGAAGACATCCTTTGATCCACCGTCGTAATATAATTTGTTGTGTTGAGTTGACCTATATCGGGTCAAAGCCGATCGCTTGGAGGTTTGTCCTACCTAAAAAATTTTGTTATTTTAGGGCCTCGATCCGGAGGCTGTTGGGGCGTTTGAACTACTGGCACCCTTTCCCGAGTTCTTCGGGGCGTTTCTAGCAAATGGATTTGTTACCCTATTCTGAGAAGGATTTCCCTTCCCCTTTTCTTTTTTGACAAAAGGTATTTTTTGATTGCTCGATACAATAGTACATGTTTTTGCCGACGGGGCCTGACTATATCAGTCGTCTGGTCCGATACATCGTTTTCCTATGGGAAACCTCATTTGGTGTTTTTCAAAACTCCTTCGAGCGGGCAGTTTTCCGGGGGGAATGCCCCTCGCCTATTCAAAAGTTGGCGCAGGGATAGTTTTGAATATTTTTTGTGGAGTTCCCCCTTAAACGGCTTGCAAACATTGCCTCGTTAAAAACCTTGCCGGTAAAATCCCTTCTTCTGGGATAAACACTCGGTCGAAAGAAAAGAGTGCAACGGGTGCGCCTTTGGGGCCTCGAGGTCTTGCAATAGCACTTTCATCCCAGCAGCTTTGATCGGGTGCCTACATGAAGGTTAATTCCGACTTTGAAATAATATTAAAAAAATGGTTGTACTTTGAAACGAGGTATGTTGGCGATGCCTCAGGATCGGTCTATTATAACGGCCCGGGGGAGGAAATGCGGCGTGGATCTTTACTCTGTTTTGTCATGTTCGACTGGGGGCGAGACATGGTTTGCTCGTTGTTTCATTCGGGGGTGGAGGCATGAGCATTGGTATTACGTCGTGTATGGCGAACATTTCCCTTGCCGAGTGTTGCTCCCCGTAAACGGTTTTGATCCCGTCCTTTGTCGGGAATTTTATCACTTGGTGGAGGGTGGATAGTACTACCCTCATGCAGTGTATCCAAGGCCGTCCAAATAAGGCGTTATACCTCATATCTCCTTCGATGACATGGAATTTGGTGTCTTGGGTTGTGCCGACCACGGTAACTAGAAGAACGATTTCTCCTTTCGTCGTTTTGCTCGCCATGTTGAATCCATTGAGGACCTGAGTGGCAGGCACGATTTGTTCGAGCAGCCCGAGTTGTTCTATCACCCTCGACCTAATGATATTGGCCAAGCTACCAGGATCCACGAGTACACGTTTTATCTGAAAAGAATTTACAATAAAGGAGATTACCAGGGCGTCGTTGTGGGGTTGAGATAGGGTCTCGGTGTCCTCTTCGCTGAACGTGAGGGCGTCTTCAGGGATATACCCCCAAGTCCGTTTTTCTCTGGTGATGGATATTTTTGTTATTCTCATTACGGGTTCCTGCGGGGCATCGCCGCCGCCCATGATCATGTGGATGATGTGTTGTGGCTCGTTTGCCTCATTTTTCTTGGTTGCCTCCCTCTCTCGGAATTGATTTTTAGCCCGTTCGCTGAGGAATTCCCGAAGGTGCCCTTTGTTGAGCAGTCGAGCCACTTCCTCTCGTAGTTGATGGCAATCCTCGGTCCTATAGCCGTACGTGTTATGGAACTCGCATACTAAGTTGTAATTTCTCTGCAAAGGGTATGACTGTATTGGCTTAGGCCACTTAGCATCTCTGATCTTGCTGATAGCGAACACGATATCTGAAACATCGACGCAAAATTTGTATTCCAATAAGTGGGGCGTGTTTTTTGGCGCTATGTTTCAATCGAACCTGGTTCTGTTGACGAGCCCTCGAGGGTCCTGTCCTCGATCTTTCCTCCGATCTTTGCAAGGTAGGTTGCGCCTTGGGGCATTCCTTCTGTCTTCGAGGTACGATTGGTACCTTTCTTTGTTTGGTTTCGATTCTTTTACCAGGAATCTATTTGGGTATACTGAGCCTGAAGGGGCTCCCAGTTGGTCGTCCTCAGCCCTGATCTTTGACTGGTACCGGTTGTGGACGTCCGACCAGGTTACAACCGAATATTCGATCAGGTTCTGCTTTAGCTGTTTCGAGGCCACCGAGCTTCGTTCGTTCAGGCCTTGGGTGAAGGCTTGTACTGCCCAGTTGTCAAAGACTGGTGGCAACTCCATTCGTTCCATCTGGAAGCGGGACACAAATTCTCGCAGCAACTCGTTCTCTCTCTGCTTAATTTTGAAAACGTCAGCTACCTTGATGGCTCCAGCATGTGCCTTTATGAAGGAGTCTGCCAACATGGCGAATGAATCTATGGAGTTGGGAGCCAAGTTGTGATACCACATCATGGCCCCCTTCGAAAGTGTTTCTCCGAATTTTTTTTAGCAATACGAACTCGATCTCGTCATTCTTTATATCATTACCTTTTACTGCACAGGTATAGGTAGTAACGTGTTCGTTGGGGTCGGTGGTACCGTTGTACTTAGGGAGTTCCGACATTCTGAACTTTTTAGGAATGGGCTTTGGGGCCGCTTCCTCTGGGAACAACCTCTGTATGAACTTATTCGAATCCAAACCTTTTAGGACCGGGGGTGCTCCCGGGATTTGATCCACCCTAGAGTTGTAGGTCTCGACCTTTTTATCGTTGGTTGCAATCATCTTCTCACCTGACTCGATCCTTTTGGTGAGGTCCTTGAGTATTTTCACTATGGCGGGGTCAGCCACTGACCCATTATTGCTTGATCTTTCGGGTACTTGCTCGGTGGGGGGAGCTATCTCTGGTGCCACTACGCTGGGAGTTCTCGGATGGCTTTGCAACTGGGCAATGGCCAGTTGCTGTGCCTGCAACATTTCAAAAATAACATGAAGACTAACTTCCTATTCTTCTCGGGCCGGGGTTTTTTGAGCTTCATGTTGGTCGTTGTGCCGTATGCTCCTGTTGGTGTGAGAAGTTTCGTCGACTTGCTGTGCGTTCTGTGAGTCTGCGTCCGCTAGAATCGGTCCGGGCGCGTTATCTGGATTCTGTAGTGGTGCTCCAGTGACCGGGACAACCCTACCATTTTCCCCGTGATTCTCGAGGTTGTCGTTCTCGACTCCGTTTACCGAGCCGGACATTTTGACTTGAAATCAAAGGATCTTGGACAAGAAAAAGTGTGAAAGATAATGTGCGTTTATGTAACGAAACTAGCAAGAAAATAATCACTATTATTTTTAGCCCCACAGTGGGCGCCAAACTGTTTACCGTGAAAATGGTAACAATAAAATTTGTAAATGGAATTCTAAAAATATGTGATCTATTCCCGAGCTAGTTGTTAGAGCAGTTGATGCTAATAATATGGAGTTTAAAGACTAAATACGAGCTAAAACGAAGTAATAATCGAATCGGAGGGCCTGTTGCCCGAACATAGTTTTGGTCAGTGAGGGACCTCGGGGTCGACGTCAGGGTCGAGCTCGAGCTCGAGCTATCGGGAATAGTCGGGGGTGGGATAACAGTTGAAGATATAATTAAACAAGGCTCTTTATGGCCACTATTAAGGTATATGTCGAAGAACAAGTAAGAAAGCGATGAATATTAAGGTAACTTCGAGCGAGTATTAAGTGGTAAACAAAGAACATGCAAGAAGACAACAAAGCTAAATAACTTCGAGCCAGTGAGGGCAAGCGAGTTAGAGAGGAGAAAGAGAGAGAAGATATTATTGCACTTTTAGTAGAATGGTTGGAGCTCTGCCCTTACAAGGTATTAGCGACTCCTCTTTTATAGAAAAAGAGAGGAGTCTAATCTTAGTATAAGATATGTTGCGTGATACAAGAAATAGGATGGGACAACCGGCTAGCTCTGTGATGCGTGCGTGGGCTGATGTCGAGCCGCTTGAATAGACCTGATCGACCCCCGATGCACTCCTCGAGGGATCCTTGCATTCGCTGGGGGTTTGGCCGACATTATCCTTGGCGGGGTACCGCTCGATCTTGAGGGAAGTGACTGGGTCGAGATCTTGGGCTTCCGGGGTCACCCTTCGAGGTATTCAATTGAGGAGAAATCGGTCTCCCAGATTTCACCGTATACAAGCCTATTAATGCCCATTGTTTTGGGCTACTACTGCCAAACTAAATTTAAGGCCAATAAAATGCCAATTATAGTTTAAGCATTATTATACGGTGTCAATTTCTCTTATAAGAAATACAATCACTTTTACAAAATTACTTTATATACAATTTATTATAAATTTTTAACTTTTTAATTAAATTAGATACAACTTTTGATATGCCTAAAATATCTCATTATAGAACTTGAAAATAGAAATTATACCAACTAACACATAATCCTTAAAATTCAAAATAATCTCACAGTTCCGTGTAGACTATTAATTTTCCAATATTACATTTTATATACCATTAATATATGTAAAGAACTATATGACATATATTTTTAATTTTTAATAAATATAATATATTAGTATACTCAAATCATATACTAGTATAAAATATAAAAATTAAAAAAACAGAAAAGAAAAAGGGGTCGACATAAGAAAATGATAAAATCCCCACCATAAAGCCTTTCCCAAAACTATATATAAAGGGCACAAAGCGGTCGTAGTAGAATACAATACAGGTTTTTGTTGCAAAAACAGAGAGGAAACGAAATCCATGGCGGATAGTGATAGTGCTTGCTCTAAGAGATGGCTTCCTCTTGAAGCTAACCCTGATGTCATGAATCAGGTACCCCTTTGTTTCACTCCTTTCGCTTATTTCTTCGATTTTAAATAATATTTACAATCTTGACTGGAATGAACCTAATACACCCTCCGTACCAAAATCATGATGTACCCAATTTTTCTTAATCATAAATCGGACATTCCTTAACTTTTTAATAGTAAAAATTGCAAATTCATATTTTTTGAGTAGTTAACAGACAGTTAAACAACATACTAAAAATTGTAGTCAAAGTAGTAATACTGTCATGTAAAATGGGATCTGGGAGATTAATGGTGTAATTAGAAGTAAAAATGCAGTAAACCTCAAAATCTGATTTGTATCTGCTAATTTGATCAACCAAGTATATTTCCTATTATGTCATGAAGTGGTGAGTGCCCTTTAGCTGATGAAGTAGATTTTTTATAGTTTGGCTTCAGTATGTGAAGCAACAACGAGATGGTATTTCTTAACCCAGGCTGAGAAGCATTTAACAAAAAATTATACAAATGAGAAGGGGGAAAACCTTATAATGACATTAATGAAGTTTCTACTTTTTCTTGCTTTTTCATTGAGCAGTTTCTGTGGGGTCTTGGTGTTCCACCGGACGAGGCAGAGTGTTGTGATGTTTATGGGTTAGATGAAGAACTTCTGGAGATGGTGCCGAAGCCCGTGTTTGCTGTTTTATTTCTCTATCCTCTCACACCACAGGTTTGGTGTTATTGTCAATCTAACGTTTTTCTGTGCAAGATTTGTAGTTCAGTTTGATGTTAACTGGTATAAATGTCATGATCCTGGTCAGCTAATTAATGTCGCATTGTACAGAGTGAAGAAGAGAGAATACAAGAAAACAGCAAAACAAAGGTGATTTTAGTGACCATTACTTTATAAATTACAGCGTGTCTTTTAGTTCAATGCTTCTGTTTTAGCTTTTATTCTTCTTATGGATGAATGTTAACAGGAACTTTAGCTCATAAGTTCCTTCATGCATTGTACACTTGATGCACATCAAATTGTTTCCATGGAGTAAGATAAAACTTGATTCGGTTAGTCAAATTATGCCATGAACTCTCTTGTTTCTGAGTGCGCTACTAGCCGGTGTTGGTCAATTGTTAAAAATGTCATTTTCCCTGCTTTTACTTTAATGCAGTTTTTGATGTGAAACTTTGTATATATTCATCCTAGGAATTTCCTCCCCCCTTTTTTCTTTTTTCTTTTTTTGGTCCTCTTTTTTTTTTCTTTTTTTTTTGGGGGTCCTCTTTTGAGTTACACCACTATGTGGGATTATACTGGGTATGTTGTTGTATTTGTTGGCCCTCTTTTGAGTTTGGGGTCCCTTATCAGTTGCCAAAGTCCTTTCTCTGTCTTGGATCTGATTATTTCCTTTGTTCCTTTTTGGTTGTTTTCGTGCTCTGTAGAACATTCTCTAGTTCTTTGAACTGTGGTTTATCTTGATTGGCTGCTCTCGTAAACCATACCACTGTGTCTAGGCAGTCCGTTAGACAGGTTGTTTGCTAAATGGGTTTTGATAGACACTGCAAGGTGATGCTTGGTGAAAACAGGATCTTTAGTTTGTATTTACACCACTCACATAAATCAATCCTCACTACAGCATCCATTTTCCCCCTCTAATTGTCCCGAGATACTTGATAATCTGTTTCTCCTCTACTTATTAGACCGAGTTGCACTGTAGCAGTTTGAGCGTATTTTACTTTTATGTCATTTATTTGGCTTCATAATTCCATAACTATTCTTGAGACGTTGCTGGCAGGTGCAGGATCCCAGTAGTACAGTTTACTTCATGAAACAAACAGTGGGAAATGCATGTGGAACAATTGGCCTTCTTCACGCTATTGGGAATATCACCTCTCAGATAAAACTTAGTAAGCCATTTGATGTTTTATATATTTCATGAACTGGTTCTTGTCATGTAGGTTTCTACTCTTTGCATTAAATAAGTGATCTTAGAGGCGGGATCCTTATGATTTTCTGGTAGTACCATAACTGGATAGATGCACAAGTTGTATAGTACTGTTTCTTAGGAGCTTGATTCGTCATGCCATAGTTGATTATAGTGTTAAGGGGAAGGCTTTTAAGTCAAACTATTAACATAGTTTGTGAAAGGCCTGACTGGGGAAAGATCTTTGAGGTTTTTAGTGGTTAGATGAAATTCTCTGAACTATGATAATTACACAAAGCTCCTTCATTATTGACATTCTTGTCAACTTATAAAGATATACTTAATTTTTTCTTCATGTTTACCGATATCTTTTTTCTCTTCCCTTTTGCTGTCCTTGTTTTTCTGTTTCTTTTTCCCTATTTTTGACATGCTTATTTTTTGTTATTTAGCCGAGGAGTCATTCTTGGATAGGTTCTTTAAATCAACTGCTAGCATGGATCCAATGCAGGTATCAGTTATGGCTTCATTGCAGTTACTGACCAGTCACATCCATCTCTTCATCCAATGCTAATACATTCGAGTATAAATTTGCAGCGTGCTTTGTTCCTTGAAAACGATAGAGAAATGGAAGTTGCTCATTCAGTGGCAGCTACTGCTGGTGAAACTGAGGTCAGAATTGAAAAATAGGTGTTTCTTGTATATCTCAAATAAACAGTTCTCATCCTAACTCCACCTATGTGAGCTCGCATAGAGGTAGGAAGTTCGATTAAAGGATTAGGGTGGTGGTAGGTTTATTACTAGTGTAACAGTAATCATATCGTAAATCCTGTAAACACAATAGATATAAAGGATTTGTATAGATGAGTCTATTGGAAGTGATAAGTCTTTTTGTCGGTTTAAAATCTTATGTATATGACATAATGCATGTCTATATTTCTTTGCGGTGTTTTTCATGTGTTATGTGCATCAATCTTGTGAGCTCTTTATGCAGGCGTCAGAGGATGTGAACACTCATTTCATCTGCTTCACGTGTGCTGATGGTATTTCCTTCTCCACCCCGTTTGTGTGTGTGTGTGTGTGTGTGTATATATGTATATATATATATGTATGTTTGTTTGTTTGTGTGATTCATAGAATTTTGCTTTCTGCTTTTTTAGTTAAAAAGGGAGTCATTTGTCATTGGGAGTGTAAACTAAGCGCTTGGGCATTACAAACTTTCTGCTAGACTGCTAGTCTATATTAATATGGCTTTGGTGTAGAAAGTTTTCATTTACATTTTCTTTTTTAAGTATCGTTGGGAGTCACCTGTAAGTCCTCCATTTGTAGCTGTCTGCACGATGTGTTTAAGGTGTTCCTTTGATATGAAGCACAGTAGCACCTAGAGGGTCTGGGATCTCCATCACTTTACATTTCACTAGCTGTAATTTTCTTGTAAAAATGTAGTAGAAGCTTGTATTTGTGCTAAAATAATGATTTCAACATTTCTGCTAGGCCAATTACCTCCTTTAGATAACATTCTGCCGTTCATTGATACTCACGGGAAACCTCTTCTTTACTCTGTTTAACAATAACAAATTAGGGAGCACTAGGAGCAATTTAACGTTATGGGAGATCAAACATATTGCATCATTATTTGTTTCTGGTTCTACTTGTCATAAAAATGAAGACTATGTCTTTGTCCACAACTTCAATAATAGTGATTGTTGTCTAGACCACTCAGCTTTGCTTGACCCAGCTCCTGATGGCTGAAGAGTCGAAAGTTACACAAGCTTGTCATATTGCAGGACAACTCTACGAGCTTGATGGAAGGAGGTCGGCACCTATTTCACATGGTGCATCCTCTCCAAACAACTTATTGAAGGTAAGTAAATACGTCCCTGCTCTGCTTTGAGGAGAAGGAAAATGTATTTTCATAAGCATCACATGACAGACTTCGTGATTGCTTTCTTTTTAAGTTCACCGCCTGATGATAATTTAGTCCAAATTGTTGGGGAAATCTGGTCTAATTTCCGTGTTTCATATCCAAACCTAATTCCCCTTAATTTGCCTAAAAGATGTATGGAACATTTTGAATCTTACAAAATTAATTGTGATGGAAAAATTGAAAATTAAGTGGCACTCTACCTGTTCAAAATTAAGCAGTATACTGTTTGTGGAATCTGGTGAAAAGAGGGACTTGTCAACTATGTTGCTCGGACTCTCCAAAACAGCTGCCGCACCTGTGTCGGATCCTTCAAAATACACTATATTTAGAGGATCCGACACGCACCCATCGATATTTTCGGAGAGTCCGAGCAACATAGCTTGTCAATTATGATGATTCGCGACAATATTGAATTTGTTGAATATGTCCTCGTAGATATGTAGTGGAATGAGATGGGTGCAAATGGAGTGAATGAATGTAGAGGATTCATGTTACTCTATATGTAAGCAAGTTGAGCCAGAGAACTGTCACAAAGAAAAATGGAAATGCCCTATTTTCTTCGAAAGCTAGAACTCTATATGTACTGGTATTTAGGCGTGACAATATGATAGTTTGAAAGTGATAAAATGGAAAGTAGATAGATCTAAAATCAAACTGAGTAAAGTTATCTTAGAAGATCTACAATCGTTCAAAATGAATGTAGATTTAGCTTAGAAGAGAATAGAATAGAAGCAAAAAATTCATCAATTAATTGGAATTAAGCTTTAGTTGTTGTTACTCGTACATTGAATTTAGTGTTTTTCAGAAGTCCTTTTATTTTGTATGGCTGTAGAGATTAGTGTGGTATTTTCAGAACATGTAGTTTTGGGTTGTTTCTAACTGCCTATTATCAGAAATTATAGAATTATAATCAGATGGACCTAAAGCAAGTAGATATGGAGGATTAATTCATATAGCTAATCCAAACTAACTTGAGATTAAGATTTAGTTGACTGATTGATATATGCTTTTGTTATATTCCTTTGGGAGTGTAGTGATGTAAGTTGCCAAGTTAAATGTCCTAAAATATATCCATCTTGGAGGCCTTCCATGTAGTTGAATTTTTGAACTAAAGCCCTTTGCCCTATCAAGATGGATCGGAACATGTATTCAAGCAGACTGTAAGATTTCCATTCTTGCCAATGTCTCAAGACTTGGAAGGAGATATATTTCTTTCTAACCGAACATCCTTTAATATTTTGACACAAACATTTCTGACGCGTAAAGGGAACCTTGCATAATTGTATATTATGAGCAAACCAATGATTTATAGTCCTTGTGTGAGAACAACAAATAAGCAGGCAGAATGGCACCTTGAAACAATTGGGTGCAGGTAATTGGCCGCGGAAGATTTCATAGCATTTCTTAACTCCTAATTGAGCTAGGTTGATCCGCTTAGATAGTGTTGGTGCAGCTTATTAGATTTATAGGATTATGTCACGAGTTTTACACTCTGTAAGGAAGAAAAAAAAGAAGAATCTATTCAAGGATGTGGGACAGTTCAAGAGAGAAACTACATAGCGAATGAGAATCAACTCATTCACAGACGCACTGCACTGCTTTGAGACAACCTTCATTTGAAAGATGGGTCCATTTGCTACTTTTAGTTTATTCCTTCTACTAAAGGTAGAGGAGGCTGATTTCGCAATGAATCTGGTAAACGAACAAATAGGTTCTTTTCATTTTCCATCATGTCTGGTCCCTTTCATCTGCCCATCATGTAGCTACTATGGTTGCATTAGTGCGAGGCTCACGTTACTTTAACGTACATTGACCATGTCTTTAGAAATATCGTGTTGACGTATTGCCTTACTCTTTTATTACAGGATTCAGCTAAAGTTATCCAAAAGATGATCGAGAAAAATCCAGACTCAATCAACTTCAACGTTATTGCCATTTCAAAAAGAATTTGAACAGAACAGAGAGCTTTATGGCTGAAATTTTAGCTTTGGGAGTGTAGTGTATAAGAGCTAAATACGTATTTATTTCTCACCCTTGACAACACCTTTTTCTGCTTTCTTCGTACCATGTTTCTTGCTTTTCTTGTTGGTGATGCATATATCTGCAATCAGATTACTTCCGAGAAACAAGTATGGCGTATAACTCCGCTGCATGTTTGCAGTAATTTCGCTGCTGGCCAACAATTTTTCTGCTATCACTGCCAGATGGCTTTTACTTAGGTTGGTCATACATTGCATATTTGGTTCTTACCTAGAAGTTTAAAGGTAAAACGGACATTGGCGAGGAAATGGTCCATTACTATAACGCAAATTCTTAAAAGATAATTTGTGTTATTACACAAATTTATCAACAAATCTTAAAAGATAATTTGTACTATTACTCAAATTTATCAATCGGTGCATGTTGATTTTTCCGTTCAGACAACAAATTAAAGTAAATCGGGTCAAACCCTGTAGTTTTATTTGTTTTGTCTAAAAGCATTAACCTTCTTCCGTCAAGGTTTCGTTACAACGTATGTGTTCTGAGGGGAAAATGGCGAATGTACCACGGAACTAAAAAGATTAGGGTTCAACCAAAATCAGAGACAACGAAATTTGGGTAAAACAAAGAACAGACTCATTAAGTGAAAGTAAATCTTGATACAGAACCAGTAACAGCTACCACAAAATCCAACAACATTTCCCTATCCAACAAACACGAGACTCACATTCTCACACAAAAACCGATTAACAAACAATTAAAAGGTGCACATGCATGCATAAGAAAATTAAACTCATCTAAGCCCCTCTCAACCCTTAATCTGTTGCCCTGCTTGATGTCCCAATTGCTCCGCCTTCTCCTTCACATCATATGCTGCATGCGCAATTTTATCCCTCGCATAATCAATCTTGGAAGCGCCGATCGGATGCTTCCCTGTGACGTATCTGTACATCCAGTAGAAAACAAAGGAAGCAGTGGCTCCAAAACCACCAGTAGCCAAGAACCCCGCAAGGATCAACCCAACGGTTATCACAGCTGGTACAAGAACAGGACTGAATATCACCAGCAAAGGGGTAGCCACAGCTAGGCCGATAACGGTGGCCGCCAGCGTTAAGCTGGAGAGCACCATGAGTGAGCCACCCACAGTGACAGCAGTGGTGGTCTTGGCCACCTGACGAGAGAGCTGCTGCTCAGGGCGGGGTTGAATCTGCATTCTTCTTTTCTCTTGTGAGAATTAATGAAAAGAGATAGAAATGGCTATATGGAGTTTTTAGTGGAGAGAAAACAGAGGATATAGATGAAGAGTGGGAAAGCAGAGAGGAGAGATAGAGGTAATATAGAGTGAAGAAGTAGATGGGGATTTGCATGGTTGTAACTTGACAGATAGAAGGGTGTTACGTGTTGAGTGTTTTGAATTTGCATGACAAAGAGGTGTTCGTTGATTGACACGTAACGTTTCTTCTACAGACTGAAATTGAGCTGGCTATGGCATTTTGAAATATTTGCAGGCGACTTTATCAAATAGGAAAGCTCTAATTTTTAAAATGTGGCAATATTTGTTTTGTGATAACGTTAATTCGTTTTAACATTCGGTGACACGAGCATACATTTCGAAACCAAGTGTCATGAGCTGAATTCTAATTCTCTGAGTCACTGCTGTCTATTTCAGTTTTCACACTCAAGCGCTAATTATGTGTGAAATGGTATAAATTTTTTTGCTTGAATTTAAAATGTGTTTTCCGGATCACGTTTTGCAGGAAAAAAGAAAAAAAGTACTCCATGAAATATGATAAATGGAACTATACTAACTCTCGGCCAAAAGTATTTTGAGAATTGCTCTCCTTTCAAAAAATTGTGATGGTATAAAGTAATACAATCCGCAAGAGTTAAGATTTTTACTAAAAACAAGATTGTTGCATATTATATTGTATCTTACGTTTATTTTAAATATAATATTTATTTTGATTGTTTTTTAAATTTTATTGTATCATATTGTTATATATCTGTCGTTACGTAGCGATGAAAAGCGCCACTTTATGGAACGACGAATTTGGTGTGGTAGCATCGTTACCTTGCTTTTTCTCTCATCTTGTCATTCCTTATTATTAATTAAATTATATTTTATCATTTACCCTGCTTTTTTATATAATAATTCACTTTGTACACTATTTTTTCTTAGTAATATTATAAGTTTATTCCTCATATCGTTGGTATATGATTGTAGCGCCCTATAAAAAGTTTCAAAATGTTATAAGGCCATTAAGAGGTCTGACGTGTGCTAGTTATATTTATTTGTATGCGAGTGCTAATTATATTTATTTGCCCGTGAGTTAACCAGAGTCCAGTTTCCAATTCTTCAAATCGTTCGCCATTTGGACATTCCTACAAGAAGTTATGATCAAATCACCAAAGGATGGCAGTGAAGTACTGCCATTGCGTCCGGGCATGGAGGAGGAGTGAACTGGGAACGCGAAGCCTCCGGGCCAGCGTCCGAAACCTAGAAATTTGGGCTTATAAGTACAAGGTCGGGGAGGGAAACTATTTTGAGCTTTTGGGGTTAGGGTTCTTGAGGTCAAGAGGTGATTTTAAGCTCCAATCAAGTCCAACCAACTAAGGTAAGTTGTTAATGATTTGTTGGGTTGATTCTTACTCAATATACATGAGTTCTAATATCATTCTTACATACATATACTAGATTTCATCATCAAATCTTCAAGAACAGAAAAATAACCATACTGATTTTTCAAGATTGATCTACTAGAGGTAATTCTAATGCTTCAAACACATTTATTATAAGTAGTTAGAAGTATTCGTAGCATTTGTTACAAGTTTTAATGGTTGAAAAATTGGATTATAAAACTCTAGTTTATGGCATGAATAGTACTTTTGAGAAAATGAGAGAGAAAATGAATAGTATTCTTGGAAATGAAACTGATAAATACAATGAACCTATGGAATTATTTGTTAGCAAAAGTTAGAAGTGATCAACTAAGTAATCACCCGAATTGTATATTTTGCAAGTGTTGATTAAGGAAGACAATAGTAATTTGGTGGTATTAAAAATTGATATAGTATCATTAATGACTTCGAATGGGTATTAAATTATAAGAATGAAGTTGAACAGGCTACCATGTGAATCTATTGGGTGATTTGAGTTGTTGGAGATTTGTAGCCAACTTATGATCCATAAAGGGATATTGATCAATATATTAGGTTATATTTTAATGTAATTAGGATATCTAATTGTAGATATCGACTTGTTGGTGATGTTTGAGCATTTTAATCAATAATGGAACAATGGAAGAGAAATGAAAGCTTGTAAATGTGTAATGACCCGGTCGGCCGTTTTAAGAATTAACGCCCCGATCCCCAATTAACTGCTTTTCCCGTGTTTGTTTCTGCTATTTTGAATTGTCGGGATGATTTATTTTGAGTTTCGGAATGTTTTGGGATACTTAGTCCACAAAAGAGAGTTTAAGCTTTAGAATTTGGATCATAGTCGGAGCAGTGTGAAGACGGCCTCGGAATGGAATTACGTTGGTTTCGTTAGCTCCGTTGGGTGATTTCGGGCTTAGGGGCATGTTCGGATTGTGTTTTGGAGGTTCGTAGCTTATTTAGGCTTGGAATGCCGAAAGTTGAATTCTTGAAGTTTCCGGTTCGGTAGTGAGATTTTGATATCGGGGTCGGAATAAAATTTTGAAAGTTGGAGTAGTTCCGTAAAGTTGAATGTGACGTGCGTGCAAAATTTCAGGTCATTCGGACGAGGTTTGATAGACTTTTTTATCGAAAACGGAATTTGGAAGTTTTGGGAATCCTTAGGCTTGGATTGGAGAGCGGTTCGTGGTTTTAGCGTTGTTTGATGAGATTTGGGGGTTGGACGAAGTTCATATGATGTTTTAGGATTGGTTGGTATGTTTGGTTGAGGTCCTGGGGGCCTCGAGTGAGTTTCGGGTGCTTAACGGACCTTTAGACTCAAGAGGAAAACTACAGAAATTGCAGCAGGTCTCCAGTTCTAGTTTCCTTCTTCGCGTTCGCGGGTGGGTTCTCGCGTTCGTAAAGAGGAGCTGGGGCAGGTGGAAGCTTAATGCTTCGCGTTCTTGATAGTGGTCCCGCGTTCGCGAAGTTGAGAAGTCATATGCCTATGCGTTCGCGAAAAAGGTCCCGCGTTCACGAAAAAGGTCCCGCGTTCGCGTAGGAGGGAGAGAGTTGCTACCGCGTTCGCGATAAAGGAATTCTGGGCCAATCGAAGTTATGCTTCGCGAATGTGATGGGCCTTCCGCGTTCGCGAATAAAGAATCATCTGGGCAGATTATAAAATTTCAAAATCGAGAGTTTAGCCATTTTTATCAAAACTAGAGTTTGGGAGCTCGGATTTGAACGAAATTTTGGGGGATTTTCAGAGATATCAATTGGGTAATGATTCTACACTTGATTTTGGTTATATCCCACTAATCTATCATTAATTTTATTATTTAATTTCAAATTTGGGGTGAAAAATTGGGAAAAATGGAAGAGAGTTCTTCAACTAAGAGTTTTGATTTAGAATTTGACATCGGATTTGGATAATTTTGGTAAGAGTAAACTCGTGAGTGAATGGGGGTTCATAATCCGTAACTTTTACCCAATTCCGAGACATGGGCCCGGGTACTTTTTGGGCAATTTTTTTAATTTCGCGTGTTAGCTTCGAATTAATTAGTGAAATTAGTTACTTGAAGTTATATTTATATTATGCAATTGATTTGAATAGATTTGGTCAATTTGGAGTCGAGTACTCGTTTCAAGAACGTAATTTCAAGTTGATTGAGCTGGTTCGAGGTAAGTAGCTTGTCTAACCTTGTGTGGGGGAACTCCCCTTAGGATTTGATATTATTGATATATGAAATGCCTTGTACGTGAGGTGACGAGTGCGTATATGAGCTAATTGTTGAAAATCCTGTTTTCATTATATAACTATAATTCTATTTCTCTTCCTTATTGTACATTACTTGCAATTTAAGTCTACTATTAGTTTAGGGAAGTATGTCCAAGTGATTTAATTGCCTTACTTGTTCAAACTGCTTTATTTGAATTCTGTGAAGCATGCTAGGTTAGAAATACCTATTTTATCTCGGTATGAAATTTGATTTAACTGAATATTCTTCGTGTTGCTGCTATGTGTTTACTTTGGGACTACGGGACGATATCCCGGGAGATCCCCCTGCTTGTTTACTTTGGGACTACGGATCGATATTCCGGTAGATCCCCCTGCACATTTATGATTGGGACTATGGGACAACACCTGGTAGATTCCCCATACTGAATATTTACTTTGGGACTACGGATTTGGTATTCCGGGAGTTTCCCTTGCACATTTACGTTTGGGACTACGGGACGGTATCCCGGAAGATCCGTTGTTGCTATTTTTGTGTATTGAGTTAGATTCTTTCTGTGCTTTTATTCGTTATAGACTGTCATCACTTTAATTATATTGTCGTATTCTATATTATTTTACCTTGTTTCTCATCTATAATCAGTAGGGCCCTGACTTTCCTCGTCACTACCCAACCGTGGTTAGGCTTGACACTTACTGAGTACTGTTGTGTTGTACTCATGCCCTTCCTGCGCATGTTTTTTATGTACAGATCCAGGTTCTTCGGCTCAGCCCTACCATCCTTGAGGCGATGCGATTCTTCAGAGACCTCGAGGTATATCTGCCGCGTCCATAGATCGAAGAGTCCCTCTCCATTCTCTCTTGTAGTTACAGCCCTTCTGTATTTACTTTGATTTAGACATTCTGGAGTTAGAGCACTACGTAGTATCCATAGCTTGTGATTTCATGAGATTCCGGGTTTTGGGAGATCTTTTTAGTTGAGAGTGTGTATTTGTATATGCCGAGCGACATCTTAAATGTTTTTATTATATTTATCCGCAGTTCCTATTAGTTTTTATCTGTTGTTTCCTTTTTCCGCAAATTGTTAGGCTTACCTAGTCGTAGAGACTAGGTGTCATCACGATAGTTCACGGAGGGCGAACTAGGATCGTGACAAGTTGGTATTAGAGCTCTAGGTTCATAGTAGTGATGAATCACAAGCTGGTTTATTAGAGTCTCGCGGATCGGTACAGAGACGTCTGTACTTATCTATGAGAGGCTATGTAATTGTTAGGAAAATTTCACTTCATTTGATTTCCTTATCGTGTGAGATTTTGATATCATAATTCTAAACTTCTATCTTCTATTCTCTCACAGATGGTAAGGACACGTGCTACCAGAGATGACTAGTCACCTGCGCCCCCTGCCAGATCTATCAGAGGTCGGGGCCGGGTAGAGGCCGAGGACGCGCCC